TGAGGAGATCTTTCTTGAGGCAGCAGGGGCACAAAGGGAGGGCAGATTGGCGCATTGTTCAGCCACAGATTTGATAGCAAATCCACACGGTGTGTGTGGAACTCTGCTTTGAAGTCTGGTGATGGCGAGAGACAGTTTACCTACAGGTCTCCCTCCCCTGACCAAAAGAAGTACGCTGTGCTCTGAAGTAGCAGGTCTTCCCCAGTGCTGTTTGGAGTTATAAAGCATTGTTTGAGTTTTACAGGTGTATTTTAATGTCAGTGAAATTACTGAGCACAAAGCCTTCAATGGATTCATCTTCAGCAAGTGTTTAAGAGCCATTGACTCGTCTCTTGTTGCTGACAAACCATCTAGATTCAACCCAGGGTTCTGTTCAGCTTTTCTCCTTTCCCTCCTCTCTCTCTTTCTCTCTCTTTTTAACTCCTTTTTTTTTTTTTTTTTTTTTTTTTTTTTACTAGCAATTTGATGTTTGATCATTTGAGGCAATGAGGCGGAGGGTAATTTACGTTATCAGGGAGGTATGAGGGGTGCTGGGAACCCAGACGCAAGGCCCATTCGCCTGCTAAAGCGCCATCGTAATGTAATGAGACTCCAGTCAAGTGCAGCTAGTAATGGAGAGGAACATTTCCCATTCATCTGCCTACCTGAGACTCCACGAAGACGACAATAACTTTTGCACGGGAGGAGCAGGGGGGGACACAGTGAAGGGGGGCCGGTGTCCCCGCGGCACAGCTCGCTCTGGCTGGCAGAGAACCACCATGGCCTCATTCTGGGGAGCAGAACAACACAGCTGTGAGCTGCGGAACAGCTTGTTGGGTGGCTCAGCCTCCCCATCTCGGACATCCAGCCCACACCTGGCTTGGTCCTGACCCATAGTCCCCTATCCCCCTATCCCAGATGTGGAGACACTACTGCCTCTGTAGCACCTCTGTGATGGAGCCTTGGAAGTGGCATCGATAACTACATGCCCACCACCAGCACCAACAGCAATGCATGCACTCAAGTTCTCGCAAGTAGCCCTGCTGCTCTGCACATTTTATTTGCAGGCTGAGGGTAATTATAGCTGGAGGGAACCTCCTGGATGCAGGCAGACCTCCTGGTACTGACAGCCAGTGCATGGCAAGGGGTGGGTGGCAGGGGAGAGACGCAGGGGTGGGAGAGATTTGTTTCTTCTCTGTCCCAAGCTGGCTGCTTGTTTCCCAGAACTCAGCCTGAGAAAGGGAGCAGAGAGCCGTCTGCTCCCCCTCACCAAATTCCTGCTGCACGGACCCTTCCAATTATACCCAGGTCTGAAAGGCTGCTGTCAGGATGAAAGGCACGGAGCAGTAATGAACTGACGATTAATTTGCAGTTGGCTCACCCAGCGCGCGATCCTCGCTCAGGCTCGCTGCGTGCGGGTGCTAAATATGACGATGTCAGCAGTTGTCAGCCAGAGCCAGGGCTGCCCCTCACACCAGCCTTTCCCTGCCACGCTGCCAGGGGCTCCAGCCCAGTTCTAGGTTCCCAGCAGCACAGGCAGCCCTGGGCCAGCCCTGCAGCAGCCACAGCAGCATGGGGAAGGGGCCCCATTGCCTGAAGGCCTGTGCAATACACTTCACATCCCTTGGTCATCTACATTATTAGAGTTGGCTTCCAGTTACCACAGTGAGATGTATGGGGATCAGTTACTATGCTGGCAACCCTGTTCACAGCATTGGGATTGGAACTAAATGATCTTAAAGGTCCCTTCCAACCCAAGCCATTCTGTGACTCTATGATTCTATGATCTGAAAGATAGGTGCACCTTGAGTATGGACATCTATGGCTTCAAAGACCTGATTATGAGAACATGAAAACAAGCTGCAAATAGCTGAAAAGCCTGGATTTACAAACCAATCACTGTACCTTCCTGATGCAAACACTGAAGCATACATGTATCTAATCAGTGTCTATCCCAGAATGTGCATAACAACCCCAAAACCAGCAATTACAGTTGTGGGATACTTGTGCAGCTTGTGTGCTCAAATGTCACAGAACCATAGAATCACAAAATCATTAAGTTTGGAAAAGGCCCCTAAGATCATCTAGTCCAATTGTTCACCTACCACCAATACTGCCCACTAACCACATCCCTCAGTGCCACATCTTCACATCTCCTGAACTCCTCCAGGAACAGTGACTCCGTCACCCCACTGGGCAGCCTGTGCTGGTGCATTACCACTCTGAGAAGAAATGTTTCCCAGTACCCAACCTGAACCTCCCCTGGTGCAACTTAAGGCCATTACTTCTTGTCCTTTTGGCTCACCTGAAGATGGTCTGCACCTCATTCATGGAGACACAGACAGGTGGCCTGGCAGATTCTTCTCCTTAGAACACGTTTTCTTAGGAAGATTCACATCTGAGCTGTCTGTGAATTCACGGCATTTTCAGCAGCTTGTGCTGTTCAAAGTAGCAAAACTGAAGCCCTAGAAAAAAATACTCCAGAAAACTGATCACCTTCTCTTTTGACAAATCCTGAAAAAGCCCTCTGATCACTGGTTCAGAATGACATTTCCTTTCTAATGTTATTTGGATGCTATTAGACAATGTTTACAGAGTTCAGTCACCAAAATAAGCATACTTTTTCACATTGAACAAGACATTTAATTTGATCAGAACTGATGACTTTTTTCCTCCCCCAGCCTGTTGATTTGCAAAAAAAGAAAGCTTCGGTGGAACCAAAACAAGATTATGGCCAGATACGTGCATCACTGAAATTGCCTGCAACGCGTAAATCTGCTGTTTGCCCACTCCCACTACACGCATAATTTTGTTTTATCACTTACAGTCCCGGGGTGCTCACACAACTTGGCAGTCAGTTTCCCAGTATGAAATTACCCCTGTCTGGAAAAATGCACAGAATATAGAGAGGCAGAGCGATATACAGAGATGGGCTCTACTTGCAAAGCAAGCGCTCAGATGGCCTGAGGGCTATGACAAAACAGACATGGTGTCAGTGTCACAGCCCCCGGGTGCCCTGGCAGCGTTCAGTGGCCCAGAGTCTGTATCACCACGGGCTCTGTATGCAGAGGTGTTCACTGCTGGCTGTGAGTCTCTGTGCGTCTTATACATCTGGCTATCATTCCAGGTTTTGATTTCTGTGCTCCCTCTGCACAGTGCTAAGCCAGGCTTGATGGTTCCCCACGAGAGCAGTGAGCAAAGCCAGGCTCTAGTCGGGTGCCTCGACAGCATCGACACCACATGGCAGGTGATCCTGGCTGCACTGCAGTCACATGAAGCCCAAACCTGAGGGCTCTTCTGCAAAGGAGACCTGAGCCCTTTAAGGAAGAGAGGAGCAGAAATCAATTGTCTGCTCGCCTTCCTCCCCAGGCCCCCCTTTCTCCCTCCTCCATCACCACCACCACCACACACGCACCCTATTCACCCTGCTGGAAGGTGACATTTGCTATTAACCTTATATTGGGCCATTTTGTAAATCAATGTCACTTACATTTAATAACAAGTGTAATCAAAGGAATTATGCAAATTTAATTTGATGCTTCTTGAATTATGCAAATCTGCACCACATATAATGGCTTCTGACATGTGCCCAGTTGGAGAACGTTCCATTACCTCCTCTCTTATTACCCCTATTATTATTTTTATTTTTTTATCCTGTGGTGGGGGGGAGGGAGAAGGGAGGGAGAGGCAGTTAGGCTCGGAGGCAGGGGGGACAAGTGAGTGCGGAGGGAAGAGAAGGGAAAGAAGAGGGGTGGTAGAGGAAAGCGCTTCTTTGCCTGCATTTCGAGTAGCAAAGCCTCCTGAAGGCATTTCTGTTATTGTTATTGCAGAGCAAGGAGAGTGGGGCAGGGGGGGAGGAATGGGGATGGGGGGGAATCATTTCCCATGAATGGCTTTGCAGGCAATAATACTATAAGCCTCTGATTCTAAATTACTGCCCTTCCAGTCCTATCTCCAGCACAATATTACTCTCCTCAGCCTCCTCTTCCTGAATTATAAGGCAAGCTGGGGGAGGGTGAGAGAAGAGGGGAGCAGAGTGGAATACACAGGGCAAATGGGTGAAAAAGGGGTTAGTTCTTGTTGCTCCAGGGCCACCACAGATAGGGTGTCCAGTCTTACTGGAGAATAACTCTTTTTTTCTCCCTCTTGGCTTTCCCATCACTCGCTCATTTCCTTGCATGTGACCCTGAGATCAGAAGACAGATTTGCCACAAACTGCTGTATCTTCTCAGAAACTTGTGGCATCAGTACCCAGTAGTAATGCTCTTCCTTCTTTTGCAACAGCTTGTGGTCCACAACACTACAAGTCAGCGTGGACCAGCCTCCTCCTACACTGCTTTTTCTCATTAGAGAGGATTCAGTGAGCAGAGCTGGGTCACATTTTCCTCTTCTGTACTACTCACAGCAGCCACAGAGTGACTCTTTTCAGGACAATTCATATAGTGTGACCTTAGGCAAAAGCAGTCCCACGTTTGTCTCAGTATATTAACGCTTGTACAGTGCAAATATAGAACTTAATCTGTCTTCTGGAAGAAGGAGAAGAAAGAGGAGACAACACTTTCAACAGTTTCTGTGCTCCTCTGATGGAAGTTGGTACATGGCAAGAGGGCATGCCTCCACCATTTCCATAAAGGAATGAGTCTCTCACTGGAAATCTCCCTCTGCCTAATTAGAGAGGTGAATGGCAGAGGAGGATTTCTACACTTCTTAGTTCGGAGACTTGACTTCTGAACAAGATGCTGTCTTATCATGCTGTGAACTTATGAGTTTTAAAAGGCTCCATTTACACTTACTATGTTTTCTTCCAAAATGCTGCCAGAACACTGATTTTTTTCCCTCTTTGCTCTCTACATTTCTGTTTCATTACATAGTCCTGAGAAGACTGAAGGGTTTTTTTTGCTAATGGAAGGAAATTTCTAGAAACTTACTCTGCAGCTGGATTTAAAACATTGCAAAGTAGAAGATTTTTTCAGTTGTTTTTTTTTTCCTGCCTGTCAAAAAAAGGTAAAAGGTGAAGGTTTTATTTTTTAATGGGATATGTAATTTGCAATGTGTTCTCATAGAAACTCGTTGTTAAGGAATTGCCTTCACGCTTTCCAAACTGAAAACATTTTAAAGTTCATGTGGGAAAAACCACGTTTCAGTCAGATTTTTATAGCATGGTTTTTATCGATGATGAGGTGAGATGCATCTGTTTACCCCACACGTGCTGATGATATCTGGCAGCACCACCAGCACCTTTCCAACATCATCAAATCACCACCACTGCCACCAGCTCTCCTTGGGGCCCAGATAGAAAACAAGGGCAGACCTTCAGCTGTGCCGGCAGATGGAAATCCTGCTGGGAGGCCCGGGCCCAGTGTCTGCTCCAGCCCTCACCCAGGCCCAGCACGGAGGTGTCTGTCAGGGGAACGTCGATATTTGTATCTGGCACTTGCTCACTTCCACGTGTGGTTGTTGATTCACTGCCCAGAGACCCGTGTCTGTCATTAGGAGGCTGAAGAGAAGAATGAAGCTCATTTCAGAGTCAAATACATCAATAATCTCTGAAGTCCCCTTCTGCCCAAGGTTTCCAGACTGCACAGAGGAGAGAGAACTTGCCTTCTCTTACTTTATTTGCCTTGCCTTTTTTTGCCTGGCCTTGCCATGAGAACAGATGAGACGCATTGCTCCCATAGGCATGGGTGCGATCAGGACCCACTCCTGTCTCCTGGCACCAGGTGCTGCACAGGTAGAAGTTCCCATCACAAAGAGCTGCAGCTGAAGCCATGCTGCTGCAGGTGCCCGCCTCACACAGCCCCTGGCTCTGAGGATGCTTCTGGATAGGGAAGTTAATGAGTGCGTGGAGCTGAACTTGTCCCTGGTGCTAAGCCTGCTGAGGTCAATGGAGGCATCGCACAGCCCAAAGGGGCCTATTCCTGAATTCCAGAGGTCTTTAGCAGATACAGGTGCCTCTTCCATAGAGAGCTCAGCTTGTAGCATGCTGCCTCATAGCTGGTGTTTCTGGGCTTAGCTCTCCATGGAGCTTTTCAGGGCAACATCACTGAATGACTCCAAGTGTGAATATTCCAGGATAAAAGGTATTTGTTGGGAATAGCTGTTGGAAACAGCCCTGTGTGTATGGAACACCCTGTAGGGCCCACAGCAGCCTGCATTACCCAGATGAAAGTTAAAGCTGGATACACTGGCAATCATTGAGACCTATGCTCACTGCTTGCAGTGTGCTCTCCTGCTTCACTGCATGATAGTCCCATAGTCTCACAGCCTTTCACCTGGGATCATGCTTTCTAAACATACTGATGCTGACTCGGAAATAGACCATGTGAAGTTTCCAGGTCCAGGCTGAAAGACCTTTGTCCCATTGCCAGGAGGAGGGATTTGCTTGGCCTGGGCTCTGGAGGGGGCATGCTGGGCTTCCCACGGGTAAATAAATAGAGTGGGGAAGTGCCCTGGAGGCCATCATTGACACAAGGGCTCTAAAATGGGCTGTTCCCAGCAGGAGGCCCCTCTGCTTGAAGTTTACATGCTCTCCCCTTCCCTGGAAATCACAGGTCATCGCTTGCAGCCACCTCCTCCCCACTAAAACTGTAATCAGCTAAGAGCCATAAAAACACGGCTTAGAAAGGGCTGGGAATGTGACCTCATGAGAAAGGAAATGCTGACCAAGTAAGCATGAAGTATCCCAGGAAACAGTTTGGAAAGAACAGGCTGAAGGTGCAGGAGAATACCTTGTTATGGAAGATGGTGAAGGCTCCACTCCATGCTTCAGCTTCCTCATCTGCAAGGTGGAGATGACAGGGCACAAACCCTCACTCCACAGAAGAGGCCCAAACCACCAGCAGGGACTCTTTTGCAATATCACTCCACTGGCATCATTGGAGGAACCTCTGCTGAGCAAGGAAAAAAGAAGTGATGAGGGCGATGTTCCATTTAGCCTTCCCTGGGCAATGCCAGAGGATGGAGATTTCACTGGGAAGGAACCAAAGTTTCTCCTTCCTCTTAAGGCAAGTGAAAGCAGGATAAAATTTCATGAGGAGTGGGTCTTAGTCTGGTACCAAGGAACAGGATGTAAGGACTAGATAAGAAACGCAGAAACTAGTCAGGTAGACCAGCTAATTTTTTTATACAGAGCTAATTCTATATTTTGTAATTATGTCTTTGGTGACTTCTGGGCTCTGCATTACATAATTTGCAGTGCTCCCACACCTTCAGGCTCATTTCTCACTTCTCCATTTTTCCCCAACAAATGGGTGCAACCCTGCCTGCAGATATCCTACCCAGTTATTCCTGCTTCATCCCAGGGCAGTAGTCCTGTACAGCCAGCCATGCTTGGTTTTCAACATCCGTTCTGAGAAGCTGGCTCTTGGCACTGCAGGGAGAGGGATTATTTGTTCTTTATTAATTTATGGAAAGGAAGGAAGAGGGTGAAAATTGCAACGAAAGGGACAGCCAGCAAGATGGCAAGGAAGAGAGGTTAAAAATGAAGTCATCATCTAATTGGCCCGCAGTGAATTATTCACATGTATAATCTTTTTTAAAAAAAAATTCAGCACAAGGCAATGCAAGTAAATGCTGTTCATGTTTAAAAGTCATTTCCATAAGTAAGTGCAATTTCTCTACTGTTTGCCCCTGTTTAATGAAGTGAAATCTTGTTTGCATTCCTCCCAATTTCCCAACGAAAGGCGCCCAAGCGTTTGCACCAAAATTACTCGGCCCAAATTAAAACCCTCCAACACTTTAAAAAAAAAAAAAGAGGAGAAGGGGGGAAAAATAAGACTTATTTTTAAAATGCCTTAAGTGCATCCCAGCATCCTAATTTATTTTTAGACACTCGTTATTAAGAGTAGTAGTAAGTTTCCCCTTCTCTCTCGCTCTCTCTCTTATTTAAATGAACTTAATGGCAATAGATGCAAATGTCTGGAAGAGGAAAATAGTTAACATTTATTTATTCTTACTGTTGTCTCTTCCCTGGCTGGTGTCATTAGAACAGTTCGTTGCATCCCATTCGCTCCCATTAGCTCTGCTATCAGAGCCACCCAGCACGACTCCAGCACGGCTCGAAGTGCTTTCTGCGGCCCACATAGGGACTACATCATCATCTCCGAGGCACTGGCTTAATGACAAGAAAAAAAATTGGAATATATTGCACAGCGATCTGGGGAAACAACAACAAAAACCACCACCGCTGTTGTTGCCCATTGCTGCCCGCTCTTGACCCAACAACGTGTGGTTCTCCGTTGGAGGATGGATGGACGGGACTCAGCACTGGGACAAACGTGCTTTCACAACCCACTGATGCAGGCAGTGTGCAGGGAAATACGGCAACAGGGACCCAGAGCGCTTCCAGATGCCCTCAGAGGACCCAGCAGAGCTGTGTTCCTGGTGGTGCAGCAGCCAAAGTCCCTCTGCAGTGCTGTATCGGGTGGATGTCCCCATCATGGCCTGCTCCTGCCCACGCATCATGGCCTGCCTGTGTCACCTGTGTCACAGCACAAACATTCCTTCATGGAGTGGGACCAGTCCTGGATCCTCTCCAAACCATGAGTGTGGTGGAGGACATGTAGGCAGGAAGAGAGGCAAACCTCCTTGCAAGGAAGGAGACAGGTCCCTGGGTGCCCTGGCACGGAGAGGAAGGCAGTGAGAGGCAGAGAGAGATCCAGGGCTGTGTGACAGCGCCAGCTGACAAAGCAGCATTTGGGAGGGAGGACATCAGCATCTGCAGCGCTGACACATAAAAGAGAGGCAGCAGCTCTCACAGGCGGGGACTGAGGCACTGAATGGGCCCTCCCCCCTCCATAAAGTTGACATTGTCTCCCATGATAACTTTTCTGCTGAGGTAGGAGACACTTTACTGCAGAGTTGCACACAGCAAGTAGCTGCCCTCCCCCCGCCCCTTCCCATCCTCTCCCTCTCCCTCTCTCTCCAGCATCATTTACATCCTTAATTAGCTGTAATTCTGCAGTGCTCATTAGGGAAGGACTGGAAAATATCAAGGAGCCCACAAGCAGGGGGCTTTGGGGGAGAGGGAGGAAGAGGGGGATGCGGCGCCAGGCTGAGAGGGGATGCCCAAGGCTGGGCTGCAGAGCCAGGAGCCAGGAGCTGCTCACTTAATTTGAGTGGGATGATTACACTAATTTGGGAGCACTGATCCAGTGATGGGGTTAAAGAGGCCACACTGTCCCACCTAGAAAGGCAGAAGTCCAGAGAGCAACAGCATCTGACCAAGAGGGCTTGTTACTTCCCTGCTGGCGGATGAGGTCTCTCTGCTGGGTCATGCAGCCCCTCATGCCTAATGTCAGTGGTCAGATCCAGGGGGAGGGCAGACTTCCCTCTGCTCCGAGGCAGGTAGCCACACAAACCTGCCCTAAGAGGGAAAAAAAAAAAGAAAAAAGAAAAGAGAACAGAAGAGAAAGTAAGGAAGAAGAAAAAAAAAAAAAAAGAAATTAGAACTCAAAACTAAAGCCAAACATTAAATCCCACACTGCTGAATGGAGTATTTTCTCCAACCCCAAATGGATAAACAGCGTGAAGTTTTATTGTTGGCCCAGTTATTTGATGTAATTACTCTGGGGACCAGCAGCAGACCTGGGCAGTTCTTGTCTGGACTCCTGTTAGCTCAGAAGTGTGCACACAGACAGGGTGCAGCCCTGCCTCTTCACAGCCCCAAGGTACAAGACCAGTTAGGAGGCACAACAGCCTCCCTGCCTTAGCTGCAGGACCAGGAACAAGGAGGTTAAGTGCATTGGGCAAGGACACAAAGAAAAACTGGCAGAGCCAGGAGGTGACCTCAGATTTCCCAGTGTCTCTCTCTGAACTGCTAATTGCAAGCCATCTTTCCTTATGCTGTAGCACATGGACGTTTGTATGCCCACTTGCACTTGCTATTCTAGGCACACACTTGGCTATTTTTTAATTCACTGCCTCGCTGTATCTTTGCTCGAGGTTAGATGTGCATGTAAAAGACTATCGGGGAATTCAGTGAAGTTGACAGAGACGGTCTTTGCAAGTCCATCCTCCCACTTTTCACTTACTGGTAATAATGTGAGCCTACAGTTCCTTGGGGCTGAGCTGTGATGGTGTGTCCCACCAAAGACTCAAAATGATTACCAGTGCATGTGGCATTGATGTTTTTTTGCAAATATAAGGGCACGTGCACAAATAGGAACTTGCACTTTCATGTATCTTCCTCTGTCTGACTTCTATTTTCACCTCATGAAGACATTTATTAACATCTTCAAATTCCCTTTAGTGTTTAGATGAAACTTGCCATAACAGAGAAACAGAATATATGAATGTGCCAGAACAACTCAGGAGAGAACCCTGGTGAAATGCAGCTTTAGTGGAGTGCCCAGGATCTTTGCAAAACTGCGTTTCAGTGGATCATAGTGTTGGCTCTGGGGTTTAACACAGGTTAACACCTAACCAAGACAACTACTTACACCATTCAAGCAAAGATAAATCTGGCCCACCTTTTGGTGTTAACATCTGGCTTCTCATGTACTGTTTGGTTTATAGATCAGAAAATAAAATTTCCAGCTCCATTCACTCTATGTGAAATTCAAGTTGCAAAGAAGTGGCAGTGGAGATTACCTGGATCTTTAAAGCAGCACCTTCTCTGCACTTCCAAAGGACCATTTAGTCAAGATTACCAGTGACAAACTGACAAAGCCAAACCTTCAGAATGGATTTTGTCCATTATCTAGTATTTGGGAAGAAGGATGAAGATCAGGAAAAAAAAAAACAAAAACCAACAGGCTAGCTCCCTATTGGAGATGTTTGGTCTGTACAAGGACAGGTGCCTCATCGTGGCCTTTCATAGGAAGGGCTATAGATTCCCAAGCTGCACACCTGCTGAATCTACATGAGAGTCTGTGAGTTGCTAATGGATAGCTTAAGGCATCAGCTGTAAGAGTTTATTTCCCTGGCCCACCTGCCCTTGGGAGCATCTTGTGGAGAAATGGGTCTGCACCCAGCAAGACCTCCTGCTGAACCCACCCCGGGCACCTCACCTTTCCCAGAGGGCTTGGGCAGCCAGAGGGAGACGGATAGCCAGGGAAAGCAGCGGGTGAAAAGCAAACTCACACTACATAAATTCTTAATGCTGTTTTATAAGGACACAACGTTGTAACAACTTGCCAAGAACAACACTGAAATTATTTCAAGGTTTCCCATTTGTTTGTAAAGTGAATATTAAAAGTGCAGGCAGCAGTCTCCCGGTGTTCCCCTGGGAACTCTTAGTGTCCGTGGTAACGAGGTCATTCCTTTTTTATTAGGAGATGGGTTTCTGTAAAGTTAAATGTGCTGACAGCCTCTTGCCTTTGATGTTGGGTTTCACCTCCGTCCCTCCTGCAGATATTGCCGCTCCTCCCTCGCAAAGACACATCCCTGACAAACAATCTCCCTTCTGTCTCCCCTGCTTGTTTGTTTAGATGCATGATAGGCAGCTCTGCTAAAGGGCAGCACAGGAAGGCGGGCTGCTGCTCCAGCGGACGGCGGAGATGTGAGAGATTTGGTGGCTGTAATTAAGCTAGCCTTCATCCCCCAATCTGCCGTGACTCTCGGTACCCTTCACTTTATTGACCGGACAGATAATTACAGCGCGGCGCTCACAGGGCCCTCAGTCACAGCAGCACTGCAGCTGCTCGGGGAGCCCTGCCCCAGTGCTGGGCCTGGAGGCAGAGCAGGGGCGCCTCAAGCACCTTCCTCATCTGGCAACCTGGGTATCCCCATGGTGTGGCCTCCAGTCACTCAACATCCCGTGCCTTCCTGACCTCAGTCAGCAAAGACACGGACACACAGGTGGGCCACAGTCAAACCATACTGCAGAGCAACCTGCTGATCAACACAAGAAAGGAACACCTGGTGAGGACAGCACTTGGGAGGCTCAGTTCTGTGCTCTACCCAAGAGCTTCCTGAAGGTTCTAAGCAAGTTATTGAAACAGTTTGCATGGCAGTAACATGGGGTGGCCCCAGGAGCTCCAGTCAGTGGTGCATACTGTGCCTGTGCATGCCCAACACCCGGCACCAGGCGACCTAGTCCCACCTGGCACCTCGGCACAGCTCAGTTGCACAAAGAGATCAACATTTCTGGTGTTTGAACATTAAACTGGCAACAATGCCCACCGTGAGCATTGCGTGGAGCCGCTCGCTAGCTCAGCAAAAGATAAATAATACATTCATGCTTCAAAGTGAAGAACACATTGTGTGCACCAAAATAATAGGAAATAATGTGGGTATCCTTGTTCATCATGGACATTGTAGGAAAAAATCAACTTCCTTGGGAACGGGTGCTTAGAAATGATTTATTTGCTCTTGGGAAATGAATGCAAAAACCAAGGAGACAGTGTTGTGCACTGAGGTGGACCAGAAATTTGCCTGCTCATATTTAACCACACGATCAAGAATCCCAGTTGAATGGTTGGTGATGGTACCAGAAACTCTAGTTTTGTAGAGGAGCCTGCTTGTTCCCCTGTGTGTGCTGTTGGTGACACAGGCAGCTTTTGGAGGGAGATGGGTTGATAGCATCGTACCAACAAAGCCAAACTCCAGGCCTGGCTCTTGGCTGGGATGTGCACAGCAGCACTGTGTGCCATCCCCAGGGAGATGCTGCCAGGACAAAGGGCCTTCCCCAGGAGGGTGGTACACAGCACAGCACAGAGACCTGTCCTTCCAGGAGCCAACCACAGCAGCTCAGCAGTGCAGGGACACGCTAACCTCGCACACCACGGCCAGGCTCTCTGCTCCCCAGGGTCTGGGCAAGGAGGTGGCCGGGGCTGCTGTGGTTTCGCCATCCAAGCAGGAAGCGTGAGAGGCGGGATGTTTGCCCAGAGAGTTTATGAGTGACACTTTCCAGCCCCCACACTCCCCTCCCCTGTGCTAATTTCAAGCACTGGGAACTTGGCTATTACGCTCATTGTTTGCCCTGCTTTGGCCTCTGCTGCCCTTTCTGATGCTTTGTGCCAATTTCCTCTCGTACTTTCATCAGAATTCAATTTCCTCCCAGTAAGTTAACACCAGCCAAACTGCTCATGATTTCTTCTCCCATTGATGGATGAGTCCACACGGGGTCTCTGCTCCTGTCTATCACAGCCCACCATTACCAAACAGAGTGGCCCACTCCCTCCAACACACTCTTCCTCTCCTGTGTTTTTTCCCTTCCCTCTCCTTCATTTTTTCTCTCACTCCTTCCCTCCCATCCACACACACATTTTCTTCCTTAAACCACTTCTTTTCTTTTCTTTTCTTTCTTTTTTTTTTTCTTTCTTTTTTTTTTTTCACACTAACACCTCTATTCATCTCTGGGAGAAACATCATTTATTTTGCACTTCCCAGATAATTTACTTTTTTTTCCCTTCTACAGGAATTCTCCATTTCCCTATAAAATGAAAATTCATCTAGAATTACATCTTATGTCATCATTATGTTTATTAAGCGTGGATGATGTATATGAACAGTACTGGCTTGCTGCTGAGTGCTTAATGGTGCATAAGATTAAGCCGAGACTCTCAGCTGTGCTGCGACTCCCCTCCGGTTCCCATGTTGTAAAGGCATGCTGGGAGTACAAGTTCCAAACGGACAACCAGGTGAATACTGCTAACAGCTCATTTTTTTTTCCTCCCCCCCCTCCCTTTCCCCTCTGCCCCTTTTTTTTTCCACCTCTTTCTCTCTTTTATGGAGTCCTGCTATGCCTCCGTTCTCACCAAGTCTCACCAGGTAAATTCCAGCCCTGGCACTGACACGCAGACCTCAGCTCTTGCACCCGCTTGGTCCTCTCTCCCCTTCCTCTCTGCCTGCCCCATCCCCTTCCCCAGGCTCCACTCCCTGCCTCCCATCTCCCTTTTCTCCTTCCCT